ATTGCCCACAAGTCAAAACTATTGTTATATAGCTATGGTTGATTTTACTTCTGCAAAATAATTGTATAAGATTACCACAAACTTCATGAAATTTCGAAATTATAAAATCAGGATGAAAACCTAGGCATGATATTTCAGCTTCAAATATCAATGATAATGCCAAATTCTAGCCTGGATCAATCATGATTATAGCCTGGATCAATTCAGACAATAGCCTCGATTAATCCAGATTCTAGTCTGGATTGATCCAGATTCTAGTCTGGATTGATCCAGATTCTAGTCTGGATTGATCCAGATTCTAGTCTGGATTGATCACAAATATGGATAGGCTAAGAGCCCATAAAATTAGTTTTATTGAAATATATAGCATATTTGTGTTAGTATCATTAAATAAAAGTTTGCTGTTTGAAATAAAAGAAAATGAGTTTTACCAATTTATTTAAGTACCAAATAAAACGTAGGGTAAACGCGGTATATTCTGACATCGTGGGTAATTCTGACACTTCTCTAGTTTTTCCTTTATATTAAGCTTTGTTTTAGTTCCATGCATTCGTTGATGGTTGAAATAGTGACGTGACTGACGTGAGTGACGTCATACATTTGCGAGTCAAACTACTGCCAAATCACTAGGTCTGGGCCATCTACTTCACACGTAAGACATTTCTGCACTGCATTAGCTATAATATAATATCGAAAGTTTCCAATAGTTATTTCTTTCGCATCTAGTGGGAAAATGTTGAGATCCAAAGAGAGATGGTGCATGCCACCCAATGAGATCATCAAAAAATGTGTCAAAGTTGACAGTTGACACTTGACCTTGCTATGAGGAAAATACCCACAAATTAGTGTTGCTTAGTGATGATGGTTTGAACTGAAACATGACCAGCACATAAAAATGGTTTTCCAGAGCATCCTTCATAAAATGTTGATACTTTTTGGCCTTTTTTTCTGCAACTTTTGATCCTTCTGACTGGGAAATTATTTTATAGGTAGCATCCCACACACACACCACGTGACCACGGTCAGGAAGATGTGCCAGGTGCGCCGGAATTTATATTATCATTGCATCAATTTGCGCCGTGCTCCTAAAGTTGTTTAAAAATGAATGCGCGACAACGCTATCACACACGAACAAATATCTGCATCACATTGACTAGATTTCTAACGTGTTGACTCAGGTTCTAAGAGTCGGCAATGTTATGAATAATTATTCATTATTCATACATCACAATTCGGTTGGAAATTAATTACAAAACTGAATAGTAGAAGGCAACAATCCACATGGCTTGAGATTCGTTCCTTCTAACAAAGGAATTCCTTTGGCAAATAGTACAAACCTGAATGTCAATGTCAGGAATACATTACGTTCCCGACACTCTGCATGCTTCAAATGTTTGAAATTTGTGTTTTTATTTCAAGTGTCCCTTTTTACCCCATTTCAAGATTATTTCAGGAGCCTTTTATATTGTGTCCAGCACCTTACAAATAGCATATGGAATTTTTTGGAAGATGATATTCGTTAGCCCTTGCAAACAGCTCTAAAATGAGCCTAAACTTGTTTCTGAAATGTTTCATGGTAAGAAGTTATTAACAAAAAAACGCTCAAAACCGTCCCTCTTTACTCCGTTTGACGGTATTCCATGCACGTAAAGAAATACAACTGTCCAACTGAAGACTTTAGACTAAAGTTTAGAAACCAAACAATATGTATGTAGGTAATATTTAGTATATGATTAAATTTTGCATGTACTAGAAAACTGGACTTTATTTTACTTTTGTTCTTTACTTCTTTCCTTTATGTACTAGAAAAACAGAATTGTTTTTATACTATAACTTACCTGATTTCTGCCACCATTCAATAAAGATTGGGAAACTTTGGGTCTATGGCTAGTGAATGGCTGAATGCACTAATTTTTCGATAAGTGAAATTTTTTTCGCTGAGCAAGGAAAATGTGATCAATATTCTTTGTTTTTAATCAATTTTTTTTCGTAATTGAAGCCTTTGCTAACTGAGGTTCTACCCTTAATGCGTTTTTGGGGGTGTCCCGAATAGCCCCGTGTGGGTGTCCCGAGTAGCCCCGCCATGCGGAAATGGCTGCCATTTCTTTTTGGAATTAGATGGGCAAATTCTGTCAATTACGTTTTCAAGCCGACACCTGGGTGCAACTTTTATGTAAGTAAAATTTTTTAATATGGCGAATATTTTTTTTGCTACATACCTTAGCAGTTGTAACTTTACAAAACATAGTTTTTCACCATTTTTTTCAGGAATTTTTCAAAGCAAGTAAATGTAGTATATTTCAACTTCCTTTATACTAGATAGATAGGAAAAATAGTTACGTTTACGCCACTATTTTTAGTTTTGCAATATTCCAATTAGTTTCGCTACTACAACAGTTTTACGCCGTGTCAAAGGCCTGTCCCGAGTAGCCCCGCGTGTCCCGAGTAGCCCCGGTTGACGGTAATGTTATGTAAGAGTGAATGTTTTTCTTTTTTGTCCGTTAAGAAAACGTGGTTTTTAAGATTTTTTTTATTCATTTTATTTCACTATTTTTAGTTTTATAAAAACCAGAAAAATGTGTTTTTTAAAAATATTTTTTATATTTATTTATTTTCTACTTTTTAGTTAGCAATTTTATCAATTCAAATCAATTTCCAGGGTTGGCAATTGTGGATGTTCGAAAAAAAAACTCAATTTCAAACCGTGAATTTTTAGTGTTTCTTTTAATATTTTTTAAACATTTAAAAAAAATTTTTAAATTATTATTTCTGATGATAAAATCTTGAATTGTTAGGCAGCATAAACATGCATGCCAAATTTCAGCTTACTAGGATGTTTAGAAGTGCTCTAAATTAAGGTCTGAATTTTTTTATGACAGACACACACGAAACGAAGTCAAGAAAAATGTGGTAACAAAATTACCAAATTGTGAATCTTGCTTTGCAGCCTCATACGACCAACAGGAAACCATAAATTTTGAAAATGATGCAGCCACTGGTATCTCTCCTGTTCCACAAATAGTGTTGCCAACAATTTGCAAATATCTAAAATGCAATAATTTCACTCCAAATGTGTTGGCAAGATCTTCTAAAGGTGTAAATTTTGCTGCTGATGCATTGCTGAAGTTCTTCAGACATTTACCCACTTTCTGCACCTTGGCATATTAGAAAAGTGACCGATTGACCGTACAGTATTTATGGGTATTAAATGGTTAGTATTGGTACCAGTACTTGGTTGTCAGTGCCCATCAGGTGCCTGAAAAGAATAGAGAGTTATAATGCTGTAATTAATCTCGTCATTGAATTACTCATCCTGTCTTTCTTAGTTTTTGTCCTCCAGAAAAAGACTCATTTTTCAGAATTATTTGTATCAAGGTGACTTTTTGAGATTAGATAACCATATTCATCTGAATACTGAAAATGGGAAGTAATCCTGCCATTGTGCCTACTCCTGTAGAAGATGTCCAAGGAGATGGGCGATGGCTCAGTATGGTGAGTTACACTTTTAAACTTTGTTATTATTTAGCCTTTATAGTCTATTTTTTTAGGGAGAGGTTATAAATCAAATGCAAACTGCATGAACCAGTTTTCAGGAAGCTCATTTTGCATGGGAAAATTCCTCAAAAGAGTATGGAGTGTCTCTGTAATTTATCAAATCAATCAGAGAAGTAATCACTGGAGAACTGCAAGATTTCAATAATAAGTAAGAAAATTCCAACCTTGGTTTTACACATAGCAGCAAAGCAAAGGTGTCTTTTTTGTTTATACATGTAACATAAAATACTTTAGTGGGTTTTTATAACCCAAATTGAAGTGGTTCTTTTTCTATGTCAGCGCTTTAGTGGAGCACATTTTTCCGTATCTGACAGTTTTTAAGCTGGTTTAGTTGTAAGGGAGGATGTTCATATGGCAGGGTTCCACTGTATTGGTTTTTATGCAACATAATTTACCAGTTGATACAATCACATCAGATAATTTTGGACATTGTCAACCGATTGAGGTCTTAGAGAGTTAGGGCACCAGCCTGAGCCTGGTATGTTGGTAATGCAATTTTTTTGCTCATCAGGAAATCTTCCAATGTCAAACTGAATAATGTTAGTTAAGATGCATCCTGCCTATCCAAACTTGTACAAGCCCATATTTTGACTTTTTCATAAATGTGATCTCACCCTAATTTTGTTTGTGTGAAAGTTATCTTCTCTTTACAGCATCAGCACTTTGTGTCCCAAGCACATGATCTGGAGCCTGATGTTGTGCTTGTTGGAGACTCCATGTTAGCTAATTTACAAATAACTGAACTCTGGGAGAACTGGTTTGCTCCCCTGCACTCAATGAATCTCTCTGTGGGAGGGGACCAAACTCAGCATGTTCTCTGGCGACTCCATAATGGAGAGCTTGAGTGCATACAACCAAAGGTAATAGTCTGCTTTGTCAAGCATTATATTACTTGTCACAAATGATTTTTCAATTTATTACTTTCATGATACAAATTTGTATTAATCACCTGTACCCAATAACACACTGGTGTCTAGGAAGATCAATAGCAATCACTTATCAATAAATAGTTTTGTAAAATTATTTGCTGCTGAGCCTAGAATTTGGATTTTTTTATTCATACATTAACATAGCAAGTCTGACTGAAGCATTTTCTGTTTTATGCAGGTTATTGTAGTAATGGTGGGCACCAACAACCATAGTCACAGTGCAGAACAAGTAGCTGAAGGTATCATGGAAGTGTGCAAGCTTTTGAATGAGAAGCAGCCACAGGCAGACATCGTGCTCCTGGTGAGTTTCTTAAAAATTCATTCTGAATTTAGGTGATAATTTCGGTCTTGTCTTATTTTTTAGTTTTAATCTTGGATATATAAAATCATTCTTGACAAAAATCTTTCTAAGAAGGAACCACATCTCAGTTAATCTGGAGCTACTTCCACAACCTTTTCCTTGTCAATTGATTAAGAATTCCTGACTCCCATGATTTTTTTCTTTTTACCTCAGGCATTGCTTCCAAGGGGTGAAAAGGAGAACCCAATAAGAGAAAAACATAGAAAAATCAATGAGATTTTGGGTGAAGAAAGTAAAAAGATTGAAAGGATACAGGTGAGTCAATTATCCTTACTTGAATTTACATTGCAATCCTTTAATTTCCATCACTATCAACATTTTCAGCTATACAGTTATCTCAAGTGTACAGTTTACAGAGATTTTAGCTAAAATGTTTGTTGTATGTGGTTGGATCTACAGATATTATTTTAAATCATCTTTGGTAGACTTTTTTCAAGACGTCGTGAGATTTATTTCTTTGCAAGTGATGCCCTCCTAATTTATTTTACCACAAACTGGTTCAAATTATCTTACAGATGGTGGACTTGGGCCGAGATTTATTGCAAGCCGACGGCACCATAAGCCACCGCGATATGTTCGACTACCTGCACCTGACGCACCGTGGCTACCGCCGCGTCTTCCAGCCCCTACATGACCTGCTAACGCAGATGCTGCACGGCGACGACTCTCATCTAGTGAATGAAATCGCGGCAGCCACGCACTCCACTCTGCCGTCACCTAGTGACCCTGCCTCTGTGGCTGCTGAGTGAATGCTCTACGCTTTCAATGATATTAAATAAATTTAATAATCATTAACTTATCAAATTGATTGTGATGGATGGTGGCTAGACCAAAATTAACGTTTCCTTGTATGCAGAGAGAAAAGAAAACTTGTGTGAATTGTTCAGTGTTCAAGTTTAAGTATAATATAGTAGAGACAAGTTGTAGGTTGTATTTTGGAGAGATATTTATGATAGAGTTGCCCAATATGACCATCACCAAACTTGTTGGCATCCTAATGATTATTGCTACAATGCTACGTCACCTGATACTGGTATGCTAATAAATCTCTTCGGTACTTGCATTCAATTGGCTGAAATTTTTTTTCTATAAATTATAAGCATTCAATACTTTCAGGACTTAAACACAAGTAAAATTGCAAGTTTTGAATTGCCGAAGACATTATGATGCTAAAATATTGACAACTTTTGTCACTTGTTCTAGATTAGCCTCAACTGACGAGTAGAAAATTGTCACAATAAGTGTATCAGCTGCTGAACTTTGCATGATTCAGCAAACAATTCAGAATATTATTTGATGTTGAATATTCTGCCTGCCGCCTAATGCTCAGAAATATTAATAGTACACTTTTACTATTTCTTTATGCAAAGATTACACCGCTTTTTTGTGGCAATTTTTCCTGTCAGCTTGAAATCCCAAATATTAGTGGTGTAAAATTTTCTATATATTACGGTCTCTTCCTGCTATAACCAATGTCATTGCTAGATGCATAATGTGCGATGATGAGACCTCTCCCTTTAAGTTTAATTCTATGGCCATGAGCGCTACTTGAATATGTTGAAAGTTGTAGGCTTTGCCTTGGTGAATACTTCAAGATGTAATCTGATTTGGAATCTAGGTAGATTTAGCCATTAAATTGTTGCTTGTCTCAAATGTGATGCAAGTTCATAATTTTCTTTGCTTTTGAGAATCGGAATATTCCTGCCATTGTGTTCGTACGATAGCAGAATGACCTCGGATGGTCGCTCTCAAACAATATTCGCATCGTATGTTGACGTCAGTTCTAATAGTTCTAAATCTTATGTGTTCAAAGTCCTGCGTCAAACAATTTGCACTATCCTCAGTATAGCATCAATTTAGTATATAGAACATTTGTTGTCCTATCTTATTGACTAAGAAACGGTTCCCAATTTAATTCAAAATATTTCTAAAATGTTACTTAGCAATTTTAAGTAAGAATATGATGATTAACGATGAATTGTAAACTAAGAATAGCCAAGGTTCTTCACTCGCGTTTGCTCGGAAGGAACATTCCATTACACGGTAGCACTAAGGGTCAGTTGAGGCATGAAGCGCCTGGGAAATGAATAATTAAATGTATCTAAATCTCAACTCAACTCGTAAAACCTGATGAAAACTCCCATTTATCTAGATATGTTGAGTTTGGTAATAAGCTTCCTTATAAAAATCATGCTTTGGTTAGCGTTCCTATTTTGCTGTTGATGTTGGAAAACAACTTGATTACATAAAGTTTAATCCCGTTCATAGAGGATCTCAAGGAGGAAGTTGTAGGTGCAACAAGAATGATTTAAAAAGTATATATCATATAAAGCTTTGAAAATTTTAATGGTTTATTCGTCAGCAGCTCGTGCTAATGGCAGGTTAAATGATGCCAAAGAATCTTGTAATTTTAGGAATTCTTCAGTCATTTCCCAGATGCGACCTTCCTACCTGATGAAAGGTTGGGAAGTTTCAACTATAATTCGTACAATCGAGGTTCACAAACGATATGTAGAATATTATTTCTCGTACTCTAGCATGAATGTTGTCTGCATATCACCATATAGCACTTGTATGTTGAATTCACAACCTTTTTTCATTTTCAGCCATCCACGTTTGCTGCATTTATCAAGTTACATCACCGTCATTATCAGTAGGAGTACGAGTCTCAGATATAATATTTTCTGAACATCTTACTAACTTATACATATGGCTGGCATCATCTTATACTAATTTTGTCTGTGCATAAATATATGCGTAAAGCATTTGAACTTGACTACTTCAAAATGAATCTCAGAAGTGTTTGCACTACCAGCTTCAAATCATAATTGAGTAATGACGCGTTAAGTGAAAACTAACTTGATGTTGCCTTCTCTGTGTTGCAAATCAAAAGAGAAATGTACCATTTGTTTCATTACTTTTATCCTGCTTGATATGAATAAAATTTAAAATAATGTGGGCAAGGCATCTCACAATACAATTTTTTTTTGCTCAGTGTGAATTAAGATGGTGAAGTGAATTACGTCGACAAGCGCGTGGCAATTTTATATCCCTAAATCGAAGTTGGTCTAAAAATATTCATGATAATGAGATAATAATAATAATGAGATAATAATAATAATAAGATAATATTCATGATGTTTAACGTAATATCTACAGCCTGCAATTCAGGAGGGTCCTTGCGGCACGATGTTGACTTGACTCAGATCAAACGGTTGGCCTTTGAAAGGAGATCCAGGAGCGTCCCAAGCATTTCGTAGTAAGCTCTCCATTTTCTGAAAAATGTTACGTAATGTGAGCTCTCCAATTCGATGTAAAGCAAGACGTTTGATTAATTTGCACTTGTCCAAAATTAGAGGAATAAGTAATGACAAACCTTAATATGTAACACAAACGCAAATATTGCATGCATCGTCTGCAAATTAGCAGACGTTAATGACTTAAAAGAAACGGTATTTCATCAAACGGGATAGTAAGAGGCACCTGAAGGTAAAAACTTACTAGAGTATCCGAAACAGGTTTGCCAGCTGCTTTCTGTTCGGCATCGAAGACGATTCTTCTGATGTCAGCTTGCTCATCAACAGGCATCGAGCCGAAGTCGCGCTCAGGCGTGGTAGCGCCTTCTATTGTTCCCATCACTCCAACGAGGGCGCTGTCTCGCCACCACAGAGCTTCCCGTTTCGTCAGGTGTAACTGAAAATCGAACCAAAATTTTAATATATTCAGGTGCATCATATTCAATTTTGTCTTAGACACACCATTTCCAGGGAGATATTCTTTTCAAAAATTGAAGTCACCGGTCAATAGTCCATTAGTAGCGTCAATTTTAATTGCTGCTTTGCTTCAAGAGTGACATTAATTTTTAATGGTATTTGATATATTACATTAATATAAAATGGCCCCAAGTCATGCGGAATTCAAGATGATGTAAAAAGTGATAAGTATTTTAACCCCTATGGCTCACAGTGATGAAGCAGCCTGGCGTGAGGTCCCATAAACTCTCGCTGCTGTCCACAGGCATCCGCAGCGCGCCGTGCAACAAGATCGTCTCAGGAGTGGCTTTCAGAGCAACGTATATACTGGAGTCTTTAATGGCAACAATAACCTGCAATAACAATAGGGTAAAAATTAACACGTTGAAAAATAAAGTAAAATTAAAAATTAACAATATCCAAATTTTATTCAGGTGAGTAAAATTATGATGAAAAATTCAGGATATGAAAAAGAACCTAGAAAAGTAACCTAGGGATAACATGTAGATTAGATAGTCACCGTTGCTTCAGTTTAATTATATAAGTATTTACAGACCTGTTTACCCTTAACTACATGTGAAGGTACAGTCACTTTGATGTCGAGGTCTTCCATTGTCTGACTCCAAGAGTATGGTGATTTGGCAGACTCCTGATTGCAATCTGAAAATAGTTTGACATAAGACATTAGCCATACATGCATTCAAATCCCATCAGCTGACTGCTTGACATTATAGATTAAAAATACATGTCAGAGACCAAAAATTAATTAAGTTTTGTTTACCCTGCAATATTACCTGGTACATTAGTTGAAGTAACAATTTCTTCAGCAGCAACATTGCTGCAATGAAATTCTGATCTGAAAAGAAAGAAAATGTTAAATGCAAAGTACCGTAGTGCTACTCCAAAACTACATAAAAAAAGATGCACAATATCATCAACTTACTGTGACAATGCAAGAATGGAGATTTTTTCAAGTTAAATTCAACAGACATTGCTTGATGCTTCATTTAAATGAAACTTATTTTTCAGGAATCAAATAATTTGGAGGAGTATCACATAAGCTTAGTCTTGTAAACTCAACTTAGGTAGAATAGACATCATATATGCATGTATTAAATTTTAATTCATACAAAACTGGAACTCACCCTCCACTTGGTATTTGAATCAATGACTTTGATGTTGTACAGTGAAATTCCAGGGGTTGATCATTATTTTGAGGAATACCATTTTTCTCCCCTTTTGATGTAGTTATTTGTTCAGTAGGAATATCAGTAATTGTTTCTGGTATCTTAGTGCTTGCACCAGCAGCTAATCCATGTGGAAGGGCAGTTGCTTTCTGCTCCTGAAGGACCTTGCTTCTCCATTTATGGAGAGATTGGCTTACAAGGTGTTCCAGAGAAATCCCATCTGAAGAAAATATGTCCCTGTAATACAAATTTTATTTCATTTAAGAAATATCAATTTAACTCAAAGGACATCTATTTCTGGCTTAAAAGTTTTTACAAAATAATACTTCAATCAGTCCAATTCCAGGGAGATAACAAGAAGCACTGTGATCAGTCCAACCTATTGTGAGAATTTAATATATGCGTATCACACTATAGATCAATAAGGCCTTTAATTAGTAAACCTAATTTGATGGATGATTCAAAAATATATTCATGAAATATCATCAAATAACATTTAACAAGCAAGATAACTAACTTACGGTTTGGTTTTTGCTAAAAATGCAAAAATTGTATCTAACAGTTGTGGTACTGATCCATGAACCGAATTTAAGATTTTATTCAGAGCAGCATCTGCTTCAAGGTCAGAAGAAGTGCTATGAAATACAGCTGCATTAGACATTATAGAAATTTAGTCTGATTATTTCAACTAGATTTCCTTTATATTGCCCACAAGTCAAAACTATTGTTATATAGCTATGGTTGATTTTACTTCTGCAAAATAATTGTATAAGATTACCACAAACTTCATGAAATTTCAAGATTCTAGTCTGGATCAATCTAGATTCTAGCTTGGATCAATCCAGACCAGAATCTGGATCAAGCCAGACTAGAATCTAGATTGATCCAGACTGGAATCTGGATCAATCACACACTAATCAGCTTAACCCTCTGTACCAGCTAACTGGGGATTTTACTGCCCATTTTTTGCTTCTATCCCCTAATTGCAGCCAATCAGATTTTACAGGGCAATCTCTTGAGCAATTATCCTAATAACATCCTCAATTCTACTGAATGAAGTAGACTTTCCCTTCATACATATATAGACAGACAGACAGGGAGGGGCAGTTGCTAGGATATGTTTATGTTGATATCAGATGTTGCTCCATATTTTCATTCAAATCCCCTTAGAGATGTTGGTAGTGACCACTACGTATCCAATATCAGCATCTTCAACAATTCCTCTTCATGTTCTTTCATTGCTACCAGTTCCCTGGGGGAAGATAACCAGTGAAAATTTGAAGTACTTCCCCAGAGGTGTTGCTTCCTTGATCCTGCTGCAACCAACATCAGTTGAAGATTTGACAGGAGATGTGACCTCTCAAATTATTGATGCTGCATCTGCCTGCATCCCTCAAACCACTGGAAAGCAATCATGTCGTCTGACATCTCCCTGGTGGGATAAAGCTTGTGAAGAGGCAATCAGAAGCAGGCAACATGCTTGGAGAGCTCTGGAAAGATGCCAACACAAGTTAACCTCATAGAATACAAGCATTGTTTGGCTACTGTCTATAATGTTATCCTAAAATGTAAATGCTCCTACGAGCAGGAATATATCTCCAAGATTACATATACCATCAAACTAAGTAGTAAGGGACGGATTTGAGCATTTTTCATTAGTAACTTCTTACCAAAAAACATTTCATAAACAAATTTTTGCTCATTTTAAAGCTCTTTGCGAGGGCTATCGTATGGCATCTTCAAAAAAATTCCAAATGCTATTCCTAAGTTGCCTAACGCAAAATAAAAGCGTTCCGAATTACCCCTTGGAATGGGGTAATTCAGGACACTTTAAATAAAACTCAATTTTAAAATGTTTGATGCATGCAAAGTGTACTCATCCATTACTAACAGTACTCTGAAGTCCTACTCTTTCTTTGTAGATGGGGAATCTTGGTACTTGTTTGGGACATAGCAGTCCCAGGCCACAATGGATTGCTGCCTCTGATTATCATTCATCTGCCCTCATTTGGGCCACCTGATGCACGATGCTGTTGCTTGCTTCTCACCGCTGGTAGTGTTGCAGGGAAGGTTGATCTGGGATTGCGCCCAGGAAAATGTCCAGTTGTCTCTTGAAGGTCTCTAGAGTGAACTACCCCTCTTAGATCCTTTGGTAGGACATTGAACAGCTTTGGCCCTGCCACGGAAAGTGATCCTTCCCGCAGGGATTGAAATCTGACTGCGGATCTGTTACGTAATGGGGGGACCTTGCACAGTCTCCCCCTTCTCTTGTTGTGATATGTCTCAATTCTGAAGGTCTTGCTCTCGAAGTTTGGCACCATTCTGGTTATCATTTTCCATGTGTACAGAATGACATACCTCTCCCATCTCCTCTGCAGTGAGTACAGGCCCAGGCGCCTCAACCTCTCCCAGTAGTTCAACTCTTCCATCCCTCTGATCCTGGAAATGAAGGTTAGCTGGACACCTTCCAGTTGCCGCACTGCGCAGAGTGTGAACGGGGTCCAGAGCTGGCAGCAGTATTCGAGAATTGGTATTACAAGGGCTCTAAGAGTGTGATCATCGGTTCCGCTTCTCTTGTTCTGAACGTCTGCCAGATCCATCCCATCTGTCGCCTACCTCTTGCGGTTTTTGCCGTTACGTGATCACCAAAATTGACCTGAGTATTCATAAACACTCCTAGATCACAAACAAGTTGTTTCTCTTTGATTTCTGAGTTGTCAGGTGCTAGGTAGCAGTGCTCCATACCAGCTCTTCTGCTACGTACCTCTGTTTCTCAGAACCTCAAACTTGGTCCCGTTGAACTGCATGTTGTTCACTTGGGCCCAGCCATGTATTGTACAGAGGTCTTCTTGCAACCTCTCGCAGGCCCTCCTGTCCATTATGGTCATTAGAATCTTGGTCTCGTCCGTGAATGACAATGCAGGGGCATGGTTCACAGCCACATCTATGATAATGATGTGAATGAGGAAGAGGATTGGGCCGAGTACCTTTCCCAGTGGTACTCCACTCTTCACCCTAGCCTTGCTCGATCTCGAGCCTCCTACAATGACAGCTTGTAGTCTTTCTGTTAGGAAGCTGTGGATCCATGCCAGCAATTCACCTCCGACTCCCAGCAGTCTTAATTTTCTGAAGAGCACTCCATGGTCAACTTTGTCAAACGCTTTTGCAAAGTCCAAGTACACCACATCCACCCTGGCCCCTCCTCCAGCATGGCCAGGATCTAGTGGTGATGCTCCAGTAACTGAGACAAACAGGAACGGTTTTGTCTAAAACCATGTTGCCTTCTGTTGAAAAGCATCTTCCATGTTAATGTAACCAGCCTGTAATTTTGGGGAATGGCCTCCCAGTCTGTTCTTTGATGATGAAAATTTAGCCCAGCTAGCCCCTCTTGAGGTATAGGTCTTGCTGGGTTCCCCTCTCAATTGTTGTCTTGACCACCACTAGTCGATAGTCAGACAGTGGGTCTCCTCAAGACCTCAACACAAATATGAGCAACCAGTTCTCCATTGCTGGTGAAGAATAGATGCAGGATATTATGTTCTCTTGTTGGCACCAGAACATGTTGGCTTAGCAAGTGTTCCCTAGCGAATTGAAGTAGTTGTGTTGCCTGGTTTGATTTCCGCGCCGTTCTACACAGTCCATGTTTGGCCATCGTATGTGTGGTAGGTTAAACTCTCTTGCAACCACAGTATTTGGGGAAGGTTCACCTAAGATGGCAACCTTTGTTTCTATTATATCAAGAGTTTCATTGAATTTTTCAGGCGGGCAGTCAGGCGGTCGCTATACGATAGCTATGCACAGTCAGCACAGATGGAGATGGAGAATGTATATTGTATAGTATAACATGACTCATAGTGTCAAACCAGAGCTTTTTTAGAATCAGTTCATTTTTAATTTCCTCATTTCCTCAAGATTTAAACCAATTTCTTAAGTATGATAATGCTGGTATCCATGATACTTTACTGGTCTACTTATAGGACTCAAAAATGAACTTGAGGGAGAGTCTAAAAAACTCTCTGCTTTGCCACAACCCCAACTCCACTGTCTGACATGGATTCTGTCAAATCAACAGTGCCATTGTTGCTTGATACTTTTGTGGCCATGATGAACAGCTATTTTCATGAAAAGTAAATAATAAACTTGACAAATCTGTGGGGAAAATTATAAACATGTTATACATATTCATTGGAGCCTAAATGCAGGGGAACTGTTTTTGCCACAAGGAAGTTTCTGAGGTAGACTATAACGCCTCTTTCTCTTCTCCCTTTGAGTGTCTGCACCGCCACCAAGTGCACAAATTTTTCCTCATGTGCGCTGGGGGTACCCCAAGAAGTGGCAAAGCAGAGTTTTTTAGACTCTCTATCAAGTTCAAATTTGAGTACTATAACTATAAGTAGACCAGTAAAGTACCGTATCATGGATACCAGCATTATCATACATAAGAAATTGACTTAAATATTGAGTAAATGAGGAAATTAAAAATGAACTGGTTCTAAAAAATCACTGGTTTACCACTATGTCCCAAGTACACAAATTATTCCTAATGTACTCCAAGGTGTAAGCCAGGGCAAGTTCTCAGAGATTTGTGTATGCCGGATTAATCTGCGGAAAACAGCACCATCCTAATTCCTGAGTATGGTACTGGTCTACTTGTAGGACTCAAAAATGAACTTGAGGCTGAGGGAGACTGGGAGAGTCTAAAAAAAGTCTCTGCTTTGCCACTTTGAATATTAATTTTTGAAGACTTGAACTAAGTAGGTAAACATTATCAAGCCCAGGGGATAATAATAATAGCGGTTTCAGCGTTTAGTAGGCCATAGGCCTGTTGCCAATTCTTAACATCGTAGAACATTCACAGGCCACAGCAGCTCTATGTTAGGACCATTGCCCATTAGCCAGTGCCCCAATGAGCCCCACTGCCCCCGGACCCCGGTGAGTGCCCCGTAGTAGTGTTACTAGTGTAGTAGGTACGGTAGTAGTCACTAGTAGCTAGGTAGTAGTACTGTAGTAGTACCACAATACCACTACGGTACTACCAGTCTACCACCTATCGGCACTGTATTTGTTAGATTGAGACCTTCCACCTCTATGGTGATGTTCATCTTGACTTTCGGTGCGAGATAGCTAAATAGCTGAAGCGCTAGTAAACATTTGGCCACTAAACTAAACTAAACTAACTAAGAGTCAGAGTCGATTAATTAGAATAGAAGTGTCGGCATTGAAGAAATAGGCCCATCGCCTGTTGCCGATTCTTGAACTTTTCGTGACTACTGACTTGATTCACACGACAAGGGATCCGGCCTTTGGAACCAGATCATTTTATAATGAAGTCCCTCATCAGTCACAGTCAGCCTTCAGGCTAGTGGCTAGTCAGTAGTCACCAAATAAAATAGGTATACCTGTCTCCATCACAGACCTTCAGTGTTCAGGTTCAGCCTGTGGCCTGTGCCATGCATCAATAAATCACTCCTTATAAATGTAATAAACTTTTTCCTCAGATCTGCATTGCTTGATAATTTTGATAGATAATGAAATGTCAATGTGCTTCTGTAATGTGAAGTTACTAGGTAGTTGACTATGGTTGAATATAAATTGACTCAATTGAGTATGAATGAATGAAGAAGTATTAGTTTAGCTGCATTAGCAGGGTGATGAGCTAATGACTACCTATCAGAGTATCAGACTATTCACTATGTATTGCCTACTGGTGATACGATACAATCATATGAACAATAATGAATCAAATCACTAATATTTCTTAGTTTCATCATAGCTCAGGCAGTCAGGCCTGAGGCCTTTTGACTCTTGAGTGTGAACTATGACAATCAAATATATTATAGGGTAAAAAAATTTTGGACTTGCAAATTTGTCTCATTCATGGCCCCTTTATGGGTAGCTCTGGCCAATTTTGCAGTTTGGCCCTTTATGACTTGAAGTCATAAATAATAAAAATTCACTTTATTGTAAATCAAAACATTTCAGTTCTTATTTTTAATTTTCCACATGCAAAGTTGTAGTATTATTCAAACCATCTAATATAAGAAAAACTTATTGGGTAAACCGTCATAAGCGTGGTATATTCCGACCTTGTGGGTAATTCTGACAATTCTCAACTTTTTTCCTTTATATTAAGCTTTTTCTTAGTTCCACGCATTCGTTGTTGATTGAAATGGTGACGTCATACTCTTGTGCGCCATACTATTGCCAAAACACTAGGTCTGGGCTGTCTGGCAAGAAATGTTGAGATCCAAAGAGAGACAGTGCGCGTCACCCAGCGAGAACATCGAAAAATGTGTCAAAGTTGATAGTTGACCTTGCTCTACCAAATAGTGATGAACTGTTTGTGTAGAAAGAATATTATGGTTTGAGACTTTTAATTGACTATGGTTGAATATAAATTGACTCAATTGAGTATGAATGAATGAAGAAGTATTAGTTTAGCTGCATTAGCAGGGTGATGAGCTAATGACTATGTATTGCCTACTGGTGATACTGATACGATACAATCATACGAACATAGTGGCAAACCAGAGCTTTTTTAGAATCAGTTCATTTTTAATTTCCTCATTTACTCAAGATTTAAACCAATTTCTCAAGTATGATAATGGTGGTATCCATGATACTTTACTGGTCTACTTATAGGACTCAAAAGTGAACTTGAGAGAGAGTCTAAAAAACTCTGCTTTGTCACTATGCATACGAACAATAAGGAATCAAATCGCTAATATTTCATAGTTTCATCATAGTTCAGCCTGCTCAGGCAGTCAGGCAAGTGGTAAAAAAATTAATAGATGATTAAGTTAAGAGACAGTTATAGACACATAAAAACTAATTCTGACACAGCTTGGAATTAGACACACACAGCTCGTTCCAAGCTGTGTGCAAAAATTAAAATTTTTTTTATCAAAAGCTTAATAGCTCTTAATTAAAAGCCTAAATGAGTAGTGTTCAATATTCAATAGTGTTCTAATTCCAAGCTGTGTTGTATTCCAATAAAGCTCACAAAGCGATCGGAATTTGAACACAAGAGTGTTGGAATTACGAATAAGTAGAGTTTGAAGCGCAGCCAGAATTAGTCTTGCAAAATGGAATTAGTCTCGGCCGGAATTAGTCTCGCAAAATCAAGGAAGATTGGCATCAACTCAAATATCTAAGTGGGCAATTGAGCTAAATCTACTTATGAAATGAAATCCACAATTTCACCTGTTTTCCTAATTTCTCCAGTTGAAAATAAGAAATACCATCAAAGACGCCCTATTTTTACCTCTACCAGCAATTTACATAAATCACCTGCGAAGCAATCTTTTTTTGCATGTGTTTTTAAGAAACTTCTGCTCAACATTCCAAATAGGCCCAAATAGTCCCCTGATATAATTTAACATGTCTAGGTATTCATTTTTGTTACAATCATGACAATAATTTGAGATACTATTAACTGCCTTTCCATAGAAGTTTATTTTCTTTGGCCAAAACGCCCAGTGTTACTACATCTTCAGCAAAATTGTTTACTTCACATCACCAAAACCCAAGAAGAAAATTTTACTTGAAAACTGCTGAATAATCCTGCTAACAATGTGTAAGTCTCTTATTAAATTATTTAATAAATGAAATTATGAGTAGTCTTGGAATATATCATGACAGGTATGCTGGAAATAATGGGTCTATATAAATTTCTTGAATGTAATTAATCATTCATATTGGTTATATTATTTATGTTTGATCAATTTTTGTTGAAAATTTTCATGCCATTTTATTTTCCTCAGCAAACATCTATCCACCCCCTCCTCCCCCATATGAGCCCCCTAATCCACCTCCATATGCCCCCCTCAACCCCGAGAACAAAGTTTACGTCCAAGGAGTGGTTCCTCCTGGCCGCAGCACTGCTTACGTCACTTCTACCAATTATGGTGAGTTGAATAAGGTTTTTTTACTTTTGAATTTGCAAAACTGTTTCTTGTGTGTGTGTGTGTTAAGATATAACATTCAAATGACTAGCTTTAATGGTCATTAAGATTTAATGATCTCTGCAATAATTGGTTCATAATCTTGCCATTTATTTAACTGCTTAGGACTTGTATTATATATATGAGGTTAAACATTCTCTCTTAAAAATTAATCATAAACTTAGATTATTTTCCAATGTGTATTCATGTACTACAATGAGCCTTACTGCTGTTCCATTTTGGAAAAAATTAGCTCATGTAATAGTGAACATGGGAAATGAATTCTTTTCAAGTTGTATTCTTGGAAATGATGTGACTTATGCCAGAAAGGTTATTATGATTTAATTTTATTCAATTTAGATAATGAAACTGTTCATGACATCAGTAAACTTTGCAAAAATAGTATTGTGTTGCCTGAAATATTGACATAAATTCCTCAATTGCTCAATTACCTCAGATATTGACATAAATTCCTCATGTGAATTCATATCAAAGCTTGCTTAGATTCAATATAAAAATTGCAATTTATATATCAACCCACGAAATCGAAATGAAACAAATATACCATTAATGGAGCACACTTAGAAATTTGCAATTTAGAAACCTATAAATGAATAATTTTTATGCTAGTAGAAGTCAATATGACGGATTCTAAGGTGCGGTATTTTCACTCATGAAAAATTTCAAGATTTTGCACATTGTATCCACAAATCACAATAAAAAATATATAACACCTTTTTCTTATATGGAAAAGCTTAAAAAAGTTTTTCATTTTTTTTGAGCTCTCATTTTGATAGTGTGGAATGGTATGAACTCTAGTTATGTATTATTTGATTGACAGATAATTATTTGATGGTAAGAGGCATGATGAAAGCCCTAAACATTAAAAGGGTAGTGTGTGGTGTCAATATACTCTCTATTACCACCCCATATATACAAGATACGTTATCTGGACTTATGTATCTTACTTATCCCTCACTACCTTAGTCAACGAAGAACCCAATCCTCAGGTAGAGCTTAATATAATGAGTTCAATAGCATAGTTTGTAGTAAATACGCAACCTGTGAAATGGTGATGTTTCAAATAAAACTTCTATTAAAAATCAGAAAAATAGTCCATCATGTCACAGTAAGATTACTGTTTTTCCAGGCAGCATTCCTACTGGCAGCAATACCACCATTGTGGTAGAGCCTGCCACTGTGACCAGCGTGCTATTGGTGGGAGGCTGTCCTGCCTGTCGTGTGAGTGGCTTGCTTGATTTAATATTACCGACTTGAATCAAGATATCCATTGTATGTTTATTTTTTTTATTGCTTGATTGGGCTTTTTAATGCTGACTTTTGGTGATTCTGTAAGATTGCATTTTCATTTTATCATAAAAATTTATAGCTGCCTTAAATTAAATTCAATAATTTGAAAGTGAGTATACACTCAATCATAACTTGATTGCGCAGGTTGGAGTACTGAATGAAGAGTTCTCTCTTGGTGGTCTGTGCTGTGCATTCTGGTTCTTCCCCATTGGCATCCTCTGCTGCCTCGCCATGAGGGAGCGCCGCTGCACCAACTGCCATGCAACTTTCCCGTAAGTTAAATTTAACCCCCAATCTTGATCTTTTGAAGATGATAGAAGGTGACAACTCACCAAATTTTGAGAGATGTTGGCTCAGGGAACTAATGCTAGAGTGTCATTGACTTGGCTTCCTCCTTAGTTGTTGAAATGTGCCTGTAATGAACTAAAAATTTGTGGGTAACTTATTATTTTGTAACAGTTGGAATTAGTGGATTTAGACATAAAACTAATCTGATTTACATGTGTGATTATGCTTCATGAGATTACATCAATAGATGCCCTAAATCCTTGGAAACAATTTTTTCAAAATTATTGTAACCTCCAGTTTTATAATGAATATTCATGGAAGAATGTTATTTTTCATGAACTGCTGTCATAAGTTTTTCTGTTATAATGTATGCTTTTCAAACATAAATTTCTAAACGTGGTCTTCATGGTTTTCCATTCAAAAGCAGACACTTTCTTAATGTTCTACTTGTTTCACTGATTTTTTATTAAAAAAAGAGAGATACATAGTTACAGTTTATATCATTTTCTCTCTAGGTTGTAATTGTCATTCTTACATCCTTGGAGCTACTGGTTTATCTTAGCAATACCACTGAACTTCTGACCAACATTCTGCTCATTGTGGACTCAAGACAACCCATACCAAGATCATCCTGCACCCAATGTTCCAAGCTTTGAACAGAATTGAACCGTCCTTATACTTATATCTCTCCAAGCAAATTCGTACTTTTATGTTCCTTGCGTTTTTTCTTTGCATTCAATTGGCAAACAATCTTCTCATCTTTCAAAAAGCAATCTGGCAAATAGATATTGCTTCCCGTTGTCTTTCATGGGCTCCGTTTTGCTTTATAGCTCCAATGTGTGAACAGCTCTTGCCATGCTTGGCTGCACCATGCGAGCTGAAATTGTAGAGTTTCTGCTGCTTGAGTTCCATCTACGTTAAGATACGATTTGTCAAGGTTTGGTATCTATGATCTTTAATTCTTTTTGTGATATATTATGCTTATGTTGTTCGTCGTTCATTGACCGAACGCTGCTTTACTTTTTGTGTTATAGATCCTCAAGTTTCACTCGTTCTTGATGAAATTTGGAGATACTTTTCAAGTAAATTTCCATTTTATCGGTTAACTCGTGTGTTGCAAGTGAGATATTTTAATATAATTTCCCTTATTTTCTGAGTCACATGAGCCAAGTTATATTTTATTTTTGGTCTGCATTATTAATGTATTTTGATGAATGATGGCTTGTTCATAACGTAGGTTAATATTTGTTGTCTGATTTTCGATGCGTACTTATAGCTTCAGGTTTCTTTTATACTAGTTAGTACCAGGAAGTTGCTACAAAAATGGATTTATTTGAGGATACCTATCTATTAATGGCAGTTATTTTTAGCGCATTTTCTCATTTATGGAAAAAATGCACTATTGTGCTCGCCATGTCCGTCCGTCCGTCTGTCTCTCTGTCTGTCCGTCTGTCCGTGACCTCAAGTTTTCGTCGACGAGAAAATGCGCTCTCTGTCACTCACTGCAGTGAGTACTGAATTATTTTTTCATCTTGCTACTGTTGTTCCAACGTCATGTCCTCGTCTAGAGTCGTAGATTGTATTTTACATTTAATAAATTCCTAGCTCTGCAATGTAGATAATTTTCTATCTTCACTATTGCCCAAAAGAGTATCAGTTGTTGAGATTAGAGAAGAACTTGTTATACAATCATCACGTCTCTTTGTGATTCGACTAATATTTTCATTTTATAAAGTAGAAAACGTTATCCATATTTTATTACCTAGTTTAAGATTCAACAATATATTTCTTGATCTTCAAAACGAGAATTGAGAGACTCAAAATGTGGGTATACGCGTCACATAAAATCATTTGCTCTTATGATCCATCGCTATTCAATTTATAGAATGTTTTTAACCTCTGCAGTTTGGTGATTAAGTAGAAAAGCAGCTATTCAATATATTATAACTGCTTTTGGGAGCAAAAGTTAACCAAATCTATGTGCCGGTCGGTTTAACAGAAACAGGGATCAGACGATGCTTCTCAAATTACTGGAATATTCATTCGAACTAATTTTTGTGTACCAATTATTTTAAATCTTGTCTAGTTTCAGTAAGCACGCGAACAGTATTTTTGATTTCGCAGGTACTACGTTTTTGTATTGTTATTGGCACTAAACCTGAGTGTTCGTTGATGCCTTATTGATAGTCAATATAGCTTATGTATTCTTGTACTCAAAATACATATTTACCTTTCTTGTCGCGGTTTCATTTCAAATTCTACCTTCTTTACAGTAATATTTTGCTAGTAAGTGCATATCGTTCGTTCGTAAATTTTAATGTCGAAAAACTTTATTATTTAAAAACTCTATTACTATTAGTTCAGACCGAATTAAGATGTGCATTCACTTTTTGGTTAACTAAGAGCGATGCATTGTTCAAAGTCTTATGCTGAAAAAAGAAATGTAGCTCAGTCTTTCTTATGCACTCTATAAACAACGTCTATGTGAGTGTTCACGGTTAACGACAATCGTGCGGCATGCGAGATTTTCTGCCCGCAGGGGGAGGCTAACTTGATGCTCTTGCAGGGGACGTGGACGCTCCTCCGGGCCTTCCCTAAGTCCTTTATATTCACAAACCATCCATACGTTTGTAAACGCTCCCGAGAAGAGGCACTGAAATAAGTTTATTTGCAGGCAGAATCAGCGGGTGTTTGGGTTTCTGATTGTGTGATTGTTTGGCTTCCACCTTCAGAAGTGCTAGCATTTTTGTCCAGTTATGACGCGAGTTGTGTAGACAGGGTTCCTAACACTTCCCGTTCTGTATCAGAAGTGCTGGCGTTTTGATCCAGTAACGACGTTGAGCACCGTAGTGTAGACAGGGTTCCTAGCACTTCCCGTTCTGTCTCTAGAGCAGACGACCGACGCAGCTTGCCATCGAACCAATGTGTGAGTGCATTACTTTCAACGTCTCTCCACCTGTCCTATCTTCATTTTTGTTGTTTCTCAATCAATTCTTCGTTTCTGTGTAGCTACTTTCGTCTGTGCATATCCGCTGTATTTACGTTTCTGTTCGCTATTCTGTCTCTGTTGATACTGCTCTACTGCTACTCCTTGGGCACATAGCGATTTTAACTTAAAACTTTTTAATTGTTTATTGACTGTAGATGAGATTGCCATGTAAGACCTTCCGTCACTTGCTAGCTATGAAAACTTGATTACTGAGGAAAGAATGTGATGGTAAGACACTGCTAGCCTGGCTCGGCAGACTTTATGCCTGGTGCGAAATGAGTTGATATGCTGTAAAGTTTGGTTTTTTAGTTTCTCGTTTAACTAAGCTCTGTTTTGATCATCTCGTGCGGTGGTCACTGTCAGAAAGGCTTGAAGTGACGAGCTAATCCAATTTCTCGCTCAATACTTATCACGTAGTTTGTCTGATGTCACTTTTGTGACATGTAATATTAAGATAATGATATGTGATGGTGGGCATAGATCAAATCAAAATTAAAAAAATTAGAAAATTATGAGAGGAAACATCTTTCGATTTTAATCACAATTCACCATTGTATTTCAATCGTACCCAAATTTTGTTCACAATTTTATTTTCTTTATTCTATTCATATTCTTTTATTCTTTCAACTATTATTAAACTATCAAACGTTCATTAAATAAAGAGGTATAAATAAGAAAGGGAGAAGCGCTGAAAAATTCATCATGGTATCTGACAAAAACCAAAGCGTTAAGAGGAAGACCATTGATGACAACCCCGGTGCACCTCCAAAGAAAGGACACTGGGCTCTGGGACTGAAAGATGCAGTCAAGGATCCTGATATGAGGGTGTTTCGAGACGACCTTATCGTCATCATCAAGGACAAGTATCCCAAGGTTTGCTACAAAACTTGGAAAACCGTTCGATTTTTTATGGTTGGAGTCAGTTTATTGTGAGTTGATATAAATAATATAGGTTTATACTGATATATTTTTCGGAACGTTGAAACAATCACCTATTATAAGTAGATCTAGGAGCGAGGAGGCTCAAAAGACTTAATATAATGGAAATAATAAAAGAAAATAGCGAATAATAAAATATGTTTGAAAGCTCGCAAACAGCCATTTACTTTAAAATTCAGATTATATTGTTGGTGTAGGCGCGCCATCACTACCTGGTGCTGCCGCACGAGAGCCTCGCTAGCCTGAAGAACGTCAAGTCGGAGCACTTGAGCCTCCTGCAACACATCGACGCTGAAGCCAGGAAATTCACGGCTGCCACACATCCCGGTGTTGTCTTCAGGTGAGTCCGGTGCGCGATACTTGCAAAAATGAGCTAGAATTGCAAGAAATTCCGTTAAAGAACGGAAGAAGTTCTAGATTAAATAGTTCATTATTAATCTAGTATTCAAGAATAAATTTGCGTGGGCCAGCTTCAGCGGGCTGGACAATTGAGACCTTCCGCCCCTTGTGGGTGATGAATAATTGAGACCTTCCACCTCTATGGTGATGTTCATCTTGACTTTCGGTGCGAGATAGCTAAATAGCTGAAGCGCTAGTAAACATTTGGCCACTAAACTAACTAACTTGCGTGGTTTGAATCGGGTAAACAACTATTGCGTTCGCATTTGAAACCGTAATAAGATTGTCAGTGACGCCGTAAAGTAGCAAATTTTATTTATCTTAGATGCGGTGTGAAACCCGTGAATATTATTGACGTCGATTGATTTTGATTAACAGATAATATTGACGTCGTTAGTACTTAGTCCCTCATTAACATTATTTAGTCGCATCCTACCATGAGATGATGAGCATATCAGAGCATGCACAAGGAACTCAGCGAGTGGCCTCAAGTTCTCAACTTAGTGAGTGCTTGAAAATTTGGCGAGTGGCCCCAGCTCATGTTGCCTCAATAGAACAATGGTCTACTTAAATTATTTGTCATTCATTTTCCGTTCTTCGACATCGGTACTCACCGAAATCTAAAGTCAGTAAATAAGCACTGCTTTATGTCACCTTGAGATAGAGCTCTGAATTTAGTTATTGATTTCTTCCCTAAAGTTCAATTGATGATTCCTTTTGCCTCCAATACATAATATTGTCCACTGGACGGCTGAATTATGTAAGACTGCTCGTCAGAAGGGAGTTCCGTTAAAGATCATAAGAAGTTCTGTTGACTCGTTTGATGAAGTTCTAGATTAAATAGTTCATTATTAATCTAGTATTAAAAAAAATTGCGTGTTTTAAATCGGGTAAACAACAATTATGCGTTCGCATTTGAAACCGTAATAAGATTGTCAATGGCGCCGTAATGAAGCAAATTTTATTTGATTATCTTATATGAGGGGATCTGAAGCGCTAGAAACCTCTCCCTACTACTACTACTACTTATCTTAGATGCGGCGTGAAACCCGTGAATAATATTGACGTCGATAGATATTGATGTACAGATAATGTTGACGTCGCTAGTACTTAGTCCCTCATTAACATTATTTTGTCGCATCCTATGATAATACCTTGAGCATATGAGAGCTTGCACGAGGAACTCTGTGAGTGGCCTCGAGTTCTCAACTTAGTGAGTGTTTGAAAACTTGGCGAGTGGCCCCTGCTCATGTTGCCACAATAGAACAATAGTCTAATAGTCACTAGTCGGTATGCACCGAAATCTAAAGTCAGCAAATAAGCACTGCTTTATCTCACCTTGAGATATAGCTGTGAATTGATTTCTTCCCTAAAGTTCAATTGATTCCTTTCGCCTCCAATACATAATTGTCCACTGGACGACTGAATTATGTAAGACTGCTCGTCTGAAAGTAATTGTGTAGTTGATAGGTCGGTTTTTTCTCCTAGGTTCGGGTACCACGCTATCCCTAGCATGGCTCAAGTTCACATGCACGCCATAAGCGACGACTTTGATTCGCCTTGCCTCAAGACCAAGAAGCATTGGAACTCCTTCACTACCGACTACTTCATCGATAGCCAAGGTGAGCAGCGAGAGTTATCACCGTATATAGGTTAAATTGAATGAAAAATATTGTTGTCTCTTTTTACTAACGATCCTTATGCTGCTTTGGTTCGTCGTGATTTGCGGATGTACTTCTGTCAATTCCATCCTTAATTTACATTTTTTGTTGATGGGTCTGTGTTCGTACAATAGTCACACTCTAGAATTATTTCAAATTTCGCCGCACAAGTTCACGTTTGATTTTGTAATTTATCAATTGTTCAGAAGTGATCGAAAAATAATATGGAATCGTTTCTAAGATGACCTATTTATTTTCAGAGATTTTGAACAAGCTGGCCGCTCATGGCCGCATTTCTGAAATTTCTTCTTCTGAGGGCAAACGGTTGCTGGACTCGAAACTTCGCTGCCACAAATGCGACGTTGAGCCGCCAAACATCCCCAAACTCAAGCTCCACATACGAACACACTTGACTGAAAAACCTTAAAAAAGTTTCGAATTAAAAGCCTTTTAATTAACATTTTGGTCAGTACACATTACTAACATTAACTATCCGTACACATAGGTCTGGGCGAAGGCTTGGAAAGTCCCGTCAGTATATAATGGGTTAAGGCATGGGGACGAACACTCGAACCGCGTTTCTGAAGACAATGAGAAATATGAATGGATTCTCATTGAATAAAATCTCATAATTCTCATTGAAGACAATGAGAATTATGAATTATGAATGGTAGTACCTGATCTACTGGAATGGCAAGTCAAAGCAACTTTAGTTTGAACCGAGCCTGTAATAAGGGCGAAGAACCCAGGAGTATCATCTAGATAAGGCTCATTTCTTCTATGTTAAATGTTGATACCCTTACTCAGTTCGGGCTGAGTTTCGGAGCTTCAATTTCAAGTTCACGCTTTTGACTCGTTTCGTCTCGCACTAAACTTTACATATGTAAAGTTTGAAGTGTAAAGTAAACACTTCAAACTTTAGTTGGAACGAAAATTTAATTCTATAACGATTTAAATCTTTAGATTGTCACAAGTCTCTTGTTATAGAGTAAAGAGAAACAGTTTTTACCATTAAGCTCTGGAATTTATTTCGAAAACATTACAAATGTTTATTCATTTTAATTTCAACAATAAAATGAAAAATTCTGTAACACAATTCTAAGTTGTGTCTCGGAGCTTGAGTAAATTATACCGAGCTATCGCTTACTGTGGGATAAATTGTTTCACTTTTTAATGTGTAAAACAAAATTTTCATTACTTCAATCGTCGTCAATTAAAAATTCATAAAATATATTCCATTTAAAATGGGTACCAATTCAATTTTAGGGTAACACAACATAAAATTGTTCAGTGCGCTGTGAACCCAATGCATGTTAGTGAAGTGAATGCTTGACCAAGATACGTTATCACAGGCAACTAAAATGAAATGTAAACTTCATGCGCAGAAGCTTGTAATGTGAAATTCCTTAATGTTGATAGCGATAAGATTTGTAAAGAAGTATAGTACTTTGACATGGTTATTCGTTCAACTCAGGGCCTCTCACACTGTGTGCTTTCTTACCAACTTACATGCCACTATTTAGAGTGGCTTTTCAATGGATACAATTCAGTACTCGTACTTGTGATGAATGCTGAATTTTGAACCATGAATTACAACATCTTATGAGCCAGGGAAAATCTGAATAGTTCCGTGCCTGTTTGGAGATGTGCATCTCGCACATATTTTTTTTCATTAAAAAAATTGAACGCTGCGGCATTATGATATTACTGAAGATAATGAGAAGTCAGACAGCCCATCATCTTAAATGAAAGATCTGAAACAATAGCTCAAGCCCATTTATAAATATAAGTGCCTTGAAACGCAATGAAAACCAAAAAAAAGTTCACAAATTGCACGCTTGCCGAGTATTGCAAGTGGAATGCCATAGCTACCATGCTAGTTTCCTTCATATTAAGCATTACTGCGTAAGACATTTAACAAGCAATCTAAAACTCTACAATAGAAATAATTACTGAATTATAATCACTTAAAAATTAAGAGAATCGTAGATAAAAAAATATGTAGACAATGCGAGATTCAAATAGTATCGATATTATTCCTACTCTGGCGATGGCCACTTAGCTGGAATGAACTAGTTGGATGTTATCAAGTGTTTTCTAGTCACTATTAACTTAAAATCTTAATTTTTAAAACTACCATTAAACGTCTCATTTTCACACGAGCGAAACAACCGCTTTCTATGGCATTTAAGTACAACAGCACACTTCTACACATTCATATTCTTTCCTTAAATTGCATTCCTTGTTAAATCAGCATTTTCTAACAATGACCAAATACTGCGATGAAAACTTTCATCTAAAATGTTAAATGAGCTTGCTGTTTGGGAGCCACAGAGAAACTTTAATGCCATGAAGTTGCCACAGAACTCATGTCGCCGGCCTTCAATAGAAACGACATATATTCTGGACATAACTGACGACAATTTTCATCTCTAGATTGAAGCAGCTTCGTAGTCATTATAGGACAATCGAACCCTAAACATCGTCTTTCACAGTAATTATAACAGAATCTGCTGAGTGTCGACTCAAGTGTCATTGACGGTAGCTGAGGCATTCGCATCAACATCTTGGGTTCCAGTTTCATCACTACTACCACAGCTCTCTGTTGCTGTTGACGCACCAGAGCACAAGTCACTGGGAGCGACGTAGGAGTTTTTACCATGTCTTGTATCAGGATTTATTGCATCAGTAACATGTAACTCGTCTAGAGCTGCATTTCCACTGCCTTCCCCAGCCATAGCAGAGCTGGATTCGCTTCTCACAGATGAGGTGCTAGCGTTTGCAGCACTGACTGGTGAAGAGTTGGTGGTACTCGTGGTAATTGCAGTGCTGGTGATTGCGGTTGCCTGCACATACAAAATATTTTGCACTTTATTATGATTGTCACAGTTTGTTTTTAATTGGGTTTCCCAGATAAATATTCACAGCAAATACATTTTCGGGAGATTTTTTATTGTTTTTAGCTCAGCAAGAAAGTTTTGCGCCTTCAAAACAAATAATTTTCACACGTGAAATATGAAGAAAGAAGAAAAAAATTATCACACAAGGTGCAAGTCATATAAATGAAATACCTTGAAAATGTATAGATTTGCATAATGAAACGCATGTCACGCTGATGAGAGCCAGCATAAATAACCTCCTAAGAGTACATAATTATTAGAAACTAAAGAGAACCACGTACCAGCGTGACAGAGACCTTGGGCTTGCGGAGCTCCATGAACGTCTTACGCCAGTTGGCGTGGCGGATGGCACACGCAAGAGGGTTGGATGGCGGGGGACGGATCACAGGACGTCTCACAACCGAAGCAGTTTTCGACCCCGACATCTGCTTCCTGAAAGTTGATTTAGGATGCTTAAAGATGCACACCGGGTTGCGGAAAGTGAACGAGCTATCTTCTTCTTGTGACTCCTGCTGAGATTCGGTATTTGCAGATGTGAAACTGGGTGCAGATGATGCGGGCATCATGCGTTGGTTGCTCATCATAGGTGACTGTATCGTCGAAAGTGGACTCTTCAGACCTGGTGAATTCTTTGTCGATATAAATAGCGGGGAATAAGCGGGAGATGATGTTTTTAGTCCAGAAGACGGGTTCTTAAGACTAGGCGTGAAGCCCGACTGTGAAGACATCAGTCCTAATGAAAAATTCCCAATGTTTGACGTCGTATTCCTCACAACAGGTACTGAATTTAATGATCTGGTAGAGGGATTTTTTAAATTTGCTGTGGCGGGTCTCAAAGAAGAATTTAGGGAGCTTGCGCTCGGCATTCGTAGGCCAACTGCTTTACTCTTGGATGAATTATCCTCCTGAATGCATCCAATGTTTGTCCCTTGGTTTACACTTGAAGGTAAATTAGTCCTCAGGTTTGCAGTCATTCCTTGCAAAGCACCCGATTGTTGAGAGCTTGTTTGAGGAGGATGCTGGGTCCTAAAAATATTGTTCAGATTTTTCTCATTAGCAATATGGGCATCAACCTTCCTAAAGCACGCCATTGGGTCAGATGACGCAGGAGGAGTTACAATAGAAGGAACGCTGCCAACGTTGTTCTTAGGAAATTTTGTTTGAGTCACCGAAGTATTAGTACTTGACGGCCTGGAAGTGACCACAAAGCTAGACCCACTGTTGGACTGCAGCGAAGTCAATGACGTCACGGACGGTTTTCCAACCGACTTTAATGTACTTGTGGTCTTGACGAGTGCAGTGCCTTTGAAACATGCCATAGGATCAGGTAGTGGAGCTGAGATTGCTGGAGCTGTAGTACTGACGGAGTTTGAAGTATTGGGCTGGGATGCAACCGTCGATACAGGAGCAAGGCGGAGTGAACTGTACAGCCCCTGTGTGGGCAATGAAAGCTTGTTGCTCTTGTAGTGGTCCCCAAAAGAGTATGGATTGCTCGGCATTGATGGCGCGTCACTCGAACTAGTTCCACTTGCGGAGGGTCCAGTTTCTCTGATCTCATTAGTGACTTCTGTTGAAATCGTCCCCTTTTGCTGCTTCTTTTGTATCCCTTTCTTCAGAGAAAATAAATAATAAAAACATTAAATCATTTGTTGCACCAGGCAATAGTTTTAGGGTTAAGAAAACTTCTTGCTTAAGATATTTTTAAACAAATTTTTGTATCCCTAACACCGATAATTATAATAAATAAAATTGTGAAATTTTTCAATTCTGCACAGCTGCCTATCTGGGAATGCAAGCAGACAGCCAGATTATCTTAGGTTTAAATTGACAACTTGCCAAGACGAAAAACTTTTCCACTATGAAACAAAATTCATGAACTTGAATACGGTACATACCTTAGAGGAGACAATCTTTTTTTGTCTGTTAGCAGCACGAGTGGACGATTTCGCTAATTGCTATCTTCTCTTAGCTGCTTTAGAGATAACGGGTCCACCTTCTTTCTTCTTAGGTCCAGTTGATGGTACCTAAAATTTTCAACATCCGGCATTAAAATACGGTACTGAATAATAAAAAAGTAAATTATAATAAATCTATACAAGTCAACCTAAATTAAGAAATTTTTAGAAATAAACATACAACCATTAATGAATGTTCACTATGGTACCATCAAAGAAGTGCTCACGGTAGGCCAGAGGGGATGGACCGATTTAGCAACATCAGGCATCAGGGGTCCAGTGAAGAGATGCTTCAGGAGATGTTGCTTGAGTTCCATCATACTCGAGGCTGGATGAGAACATTTATGGCAACTGATGGGCATTTCCAGGAGTCTCTTACCATCAGCAGCTGAACACGTCACCATCCTGCCACGGCTAGCAAGGCATTGAAGCACAGCTGCCAATATCAACAATAAAGAATATTTACAACAATTAACAACTACACGTGACTAATTTTTTTACTCAAAAACAAGCATCATTCACCAACGGCTAAAAATTAAGAATTCTGAAACCTCTATCATTGAATGAATTTATACTAATACGTTGGCTAGTTAAGAAAGTATATATGCATCAAGGTAGTTTTTCTAACCAGTGCTCTCAATGAAGTACTCAGTGTTGAATGAATTCCACTGCTTCTTGGTGCGCAGCCAAGGCGAGTCAAAGTCTTGGCTGATGGCGTGCAGGTAGACGAGCTGGTCAGTGATGGGTATTGCATGGTAGCCATACCTGTTTTAGGTAATATAAATTATATTTTGCCTACATCATAATTCTTATAAGTATTTAATATAAAATCATACATTGGTGTATTAATTGGTAAAAAATTCGTTTTTTATGAATTAAAGTAATTCTATTACGGAGATATGTGATATGGATTAGTATTCAAAAATATTGTGATAAAATAAAATAGTAATAATAAATAAATTTTATTGCAAAACAGTTAATTGGTTCAACTAAAATGACCTCTAAATGTTGAGAAGCACACAATTTGCAATGGTCTGAAGATTGAAGCTCACCTGAAGCTAACTTGTAGGTTCTGGGAAGCAATATAGTTGCGCGCCCTCTCGTCCATGTGCCTGAAGAGAGCTAAATGACGAGCCTCAGCATTCTTCAGGCTGGCGAGGTTTTCACGAGGAACTACGATGTAATGATGAAGTGCCTGGCCAAAAAATGTTGACTTCAATAATTTATACACTTAATTCAATAGTCTAATAAAACCATTAATTTTCAATCCTAGCAATTTATAAAGAGAAAGCACCTCAAATCTCTTCAGTGAACAACAGTGTTTCATAAACACTGTGTTGATACCATTACATCATTTGTAATGCTTATAGATCTCAGATTTGTTAGGAGTACCGTATGCAGGCATATTTATTTGAAATATATTGTATAAAACAAATTAAGAGAAAAAGTTATTAACACTTCTTACTATTGAGGGATTCTCAATACACTTCACATTAGCTAAGTTGTTTTGGTTATCACATAAAAATGAATGGTGACACAATGATACATTCGAATAGCATAGAAATTAAAAAGGAAATTAAGTAAATTAGGTAGAGGAAATTTTCAAATTCAGTATCACTTACTTTAAATTGAAACATAGCACAGGTTTCTAGTCATAACCTTTTATGTTCTGGTGTGATGCATTCTTCATAAGGAAACAACAGACTATTCATATGGTACATACATAGAGCAATGCATTTCAAAGCAAACAACAGATTATTCATATGGTACATACAAAGAGCAATGCATTTTAAAGCAAACATTAAAAATTTTTGATTTGTTGCTGGAGAAAAAGTGAATTGAGCAGGAATTATACAAATAATGTATTTTTATAATATACCTTTATCAACTCGAAATCAACATGAAGTTGAAACATGTTTATTAAATTTACCTTTGGATACTTGGCTTTCATAATAAGGATGTGATCATCAGATAGCACAACTAAATTTGTGTCTTTCATGTGCTCAAGGATGCCAGCAGTGCAGGTTTTCTTCTCAGGTCTTGGAGGCCTGGCAGGACTGCTTGACGACTTCCTCTTCTTGCCCTTACATGCAGCAGCTGGAACAGCCTCCACAGGAGGAGCCTGGACGGCTGGAACATGAGCATGAAGCTGGGCATGATGGTGAGCTAGTGTGGAGGGAGGTGGGTGTAACTGTGAAGCTGGATGATGATGTAAGTGATGGTGTTGGTGGTGGTGTGGATGATGGTGATGTGATGGGTGAGGAGGGTGATGAGATAATGAAGCAGCATGAGTGTGGTGAGCTTGCATTCCTCCACAGAACATCAGTGGGTTGATGCCCATGCTTCCCATGCCTGGAAATTACAGTAAATTGTTAATTAAATAATATTATCAACATTGTTTTCAGTGTTATACTGGTGCAAAAGTAGTCTAAAATTTGTCAGTAAAACTTTCAATGGATATTATGCCTCAAATAATAATTTTACTGCATTCCTTAGACTTACAATATTGAAGTAGCTAAGACATTAGCAATTGATTCTCAATTGATAAAATTGAACATGAATTGGCAATCTCTGGTAATAGCATTGCTGCATAATTTTAAACCATGTAGAACAATGATACTTCAGCTTTTACTTTCTATATATGTGTATACAGACAAGACATTATAGCCTTGGTGCACAAGATTAACCAAATACACGAGTACTTGGACAAGAAAATTATGAATTATCAATATAATAGGATTATAGGATTATCCTATAATAATAGGATTTTAATCATGTCCGGTGGGCAGGAAAACATCCTTTATTTCTAATAACCCCCATAAAAAAATCAGAAATCTCACAGCCTTCTCTGTCAAGATACTCTTCAAGTATCTTGACAGATACTCTTCTTACATATACTCTTCAAGTACAGATACTATTTTTGGTATCAGATCAAAAATATTTTAGCTATATTATCTGTATTATTTAGGTAGGCCATTTGGTAAACTATATATAAACTTTTAACATCAAGGAGCTGTTCAGCATGTTGGCAAGGAACCATTCTCCTGTCAACTTTTGAATCAGTGTTCAACAAGCTATAGAGGTGGGAGGTACTTGACCTTTCTGCTGCAGTCAAACCTCTCATTTCATGTAGTTTTTTCAATGGTGCATAATGAACTCACAGACATTGAAATAAAAACTTTTGGAACAAATAAGCTTTGAAAAAGTAAGAAGCATTGAAGATGCACATGCACCAGTGAAGAAGATGCACATGCACCTGCAATAAAGATGCACATGTTCTCAGTCACACACACACATGAATGACTTAGTCTCTTCACCATCAGTAACATTTGTATTGTACCAATGTCAGACTTGTTGTACGCAGAAATGGCTTGGCTTGAGACAAGAAATTTGGTCATTTCATATTCATAATCTTTAAAAATGGTTTTGAGTTCATAATTGTGCATTTGAAGACAGCATTTGATAGGAAACAATCTATATTATAGCCTGGTAAAATAATGCGGTGTAGTATGCAAGATGTAAGGCATCTAAAATATACCTACTTAACAAAATGGAGGACAGAAATTAGTGCCCAGGATGTCATTGAAAGTTATTCTTTACACAGCCTCTTTGAATTGATTCGAAAGTATTAAAAACCTATTACACTAATTCTAGATTAGCAGAAAAAACAATCATGATAGAAGGCTATCACAATTTCCTAGGTTTTAATTTATTAATCATCACCTGTAATGCCAATGCCAATAATTTTATGAACTAGGAAACTAAACAATATCTCACCTCCAGAATTACAGCCAGGAAACATGTTCCTCTGCATTTCCTAAAAGATTTGCCAGGACATTCAAATGATGGCAAATTGTGAAGAAATAAAATCAAATCATCTTTTTATAAGTGATTCTACAATAATGACTCAAAACCTACAGATGGTCAATAGAATCACCATTAGGCCTGAGATTATTGAAGTATTCAACAAAATCCAAGGATAGAGTTATTGGGGCTCTAAAGCCATAATCTAGTAACTTGGTTTCTTCTAACACAATACTACAGAGAGGAATATTGTCACCATACATTTACATTTATCTTACTAGTAATTCATATATACATGCTAAGTTAAATATATTATGGTTTGACACTTTTAAATACGTCTGTGAATATATTAGGAATCCTTTAAGTATACTTGTATTTGCTGATTTCAAGTGGTAAATAAACTAATAGATGATTAAGTTAAGAAATGGATTTAGACACATAAAAACTAATTCCGACACAACTTAAATTGGACACACACAGCTCCTTCCAAGCTGTGTGCAAAAATGATCATTTTCTCAATTAAAAGCTTAATAGCTCTTAATTAAAAGCCTAAATAAGTAGTGTTCATTATTAAATAGTGTTCTAATTCCAAGCTGTGTTGTATTCCAATACAGCTCACACAGCAATTGGAATTTGAACACAAGAGTGTCGGAATTACAAATTAGTAGAGTTTGAAGCGCGGCCGGAATTAGCCTCACAAAATGCCGAATTTAGTCACACACAGTGTCACACTGTGTTGGAATATATGGATTTGGTAGGTTTGCATTCTAAAGGCTTTTAAATAAATATGGCAACACTTTGTGACGTTTCATTGTTGCTGGTGCATAGTGCAGTGTTTTGAGAGTCATGTAAAGCAAACAGAACTCGAGTAAAGCATAGGGTTATTTTTCATAGTTTTTCATTTCTTGATGCATCCTTAATGTGTCGGAATATACCGCATTTACCCTAGCTTGGGTGGGCTTGTCTGCTCGAGCTGTTGACTGTGGGCTGTTGGTTGAAGAAGTTTTGGTGGGGTGGGTAGGTTTGGCTTGAAGTCTTGGCTTTTTACTTCTTGCCAACCGGCCAATCACTAGCGAGTCTGAAGGGAAGCCATCAAAGTCAGTTAAATCGGTCATGGTTTTACTGAAAAGTTCTTCTGGTCTTCCAGATGATGACTCCGCCATGGTTGAAGCAGATCCAAACCGTTGGCGCGAAGGGCCTTCGATACCTCACGGAAGTTTTCAAGCTTTCACTCACATAGTCAGTCATCCCGGATATCTGGAAAGCCGGACGCGTCATCCCAATACCCAAACCAGGCAAGCCCACCGATCAAGGCACATCTTATCGGCCGATCACCCTACTTTCGCCCGTTGCCAAGATCCTCGAATCGGTGATCCTACCCGTGATTAACGAACATTTCCAGCCAAAACAACACCAGCATGGCTTTCGGAAAAATCACAGCACAACCACCGCACTACACTTGATTACACATCAAATCACGAAAGGACTGAATCAGCGCAAACCCGCCCACCGCACCGTCTTAGTCGCTCTCGACTTGTCGAAAGCCTTCGACACGGTAGATCACGCCATCCTACTGCAAGACGTTTTCGATTCAACGCTACCATCGTCGATAAGACGCTGGCTGTGCAACTATCTACGAGGTCGTCAATCGTTCGTCGAATTTCGGAGCGTCAAATCGAAAGCCCGAAAAATCAAACAAGGCGTCCCACAAGGCGGAGTCTTATCGCCCACTCTGTTTAACCACTACCCTGTCTCTTATACACATCTAGATGTGTATAAGAGACAGGTCAAAGAAACCCCAAGAGCTGGGGTAACAAAGACCATCACTTTTTTTTAAATTACATCAAAACTATGAGAGGCAGGAGCCAGCAATTTATGGTGAGTAAAGCTAGAGTATAGACCTGTATTTTGCACATTTCAATTTAAGCTTAACTTATCTAGTGAAAAAATGGCATCATTTTGAAAAAAAAGGTGGTCAAAGTTACCCCATTTTATGGTACAGAGATTCTAAAATCCGTAGGTCAGTAACACCGGTCATGTAAGCTAAAACTCAAAAATCACTATCGGACACCGGAACATTGCACTGCTTGGCATGGACGCGCACAGCTGAATGAGGAGGATGCGCAAGTAAAGTTCCCATTCTAAAACTTCTGCCCTTATGCTCTGCCAACTTAGTGTAAAAATTGCGAGATGTCATACTGACGTACGCTGATGCGCAACTGTAACTGTACAACTGTATCTATATACTAGGGACGAACGCATAAAAAGAGGGAGAGCATCTTTTCCTACTTTGGTAAAGCATCTGAGAGACTGAGACTATGGCTAAGGAATTGAAAGATTTGATCAATAAATATCTTCCAAATGTAAATCTGCAGGTGATATTGGTGAATAACTTCAAAATCAGTTTGTTCTTCAAGTATAAAGATGCTCTCCCTCTTTTTATGCATTTGTCCCTAGTATATAGATACAGTTGTGCGCAGTGCGCATCAGTGTACGTTGGTATGACCTCTTGCAATTTTTACACTAGGCTGGCGGAGCATAAGGGCAGAAGTTTTAGAACGAGAACTTTACTTGCTCATCCTCCTCCTTCAGCTGTGCGCGTCCATGCCAAGCAGTGCAATGTTCTGGTGTCCGATAGTGATTTTAGAGTTCTAGCTTACACGGCCGGTGTTACTGACCTACAGATTTTAGAATCTCTGTATATTTTTAAACAGAAACCTTGGTTAAATGCAGCCTTCAGCTCCTATCCGTATCCCCTTGAAATTGTAAATAGCTAGATAGGCCTGTCTCCTTATGTGTATTTGTTTTTATTTTTGTCAATTTATGTTTTTATCTTCAATGTGAATTTAGTTTCCTAATTGATTCTGCTTTTCTTATATGTTTTGAACTTTTGAACTGCCGATGGAGCTGGACTCCGAAACGTTTTCATTCTTAAGAAATGGTTAATATTCTGGCTGTTTTCTTTGCTTTTAAATTCCTCACCAAGATCACTTCTACATATTTCTACATAGGACCTTCAACTCTTCTTCTTATTTTAGAGCTGAGGGAGCTCTGGAAACTCGTCCAAGTTAGCCCCCTGACAGAATAGTGCTCAGGATTTGCGCAACTGTGGGCAAAAAGACAAGAGATAAGACATTGCAAAGAGCAGCCATGTTAAGAGACTGGACCTGTTCGATTGTAAAATCAATGATAAATATTGAAAGAGAGTGATATATACATATTTCATCCCATGATCCCAGGTTAATGACTAGGTACTAACAATCTAACATGCCCTGCGCTGCACAGTGCCACAGTGCCTCACAGGCTCACATGAGATTGTGGAGAAAGTCAGTTGCGTTCGTGGCGAAAGCACGTGTGTAATTTTCGTTCCTTGAAATAACCGGCGAATTTTGAAGCTATAGATATTCAGATTTATTTGTAATCCCTTGCTCAAACCTACAATTAATACATTCAGACGCAACTGGCTCTCTCCCTCTGGCCTCTGAGCCTCTGAATAATATCACATCAATAATACAGTAATATCCCATCAATAATATGGTACCATCAACTGGGGGATTGGACCCTGTTCATAATGATGGCCAAAGGGGGGTCATCATTAGTGGTCATAAACAATGGCCAAAGTCACTCCAGCCTTTATGACCTTGTTTACAACTCAGGCGTTTACGACCCCGTTTTGTTTGCAAAACAAAATCAAAAACGGGGCCCAAGTCACCCCAGTTGACAGTAATTAATGTTTATGGTAATATCCTATCAATAAAGGAAAAACAAGTAAAAATCACAGAAATTTCATTTATTCTACCTCTACATCATCTACAAAGAAAGAGGAGGACTTCAGAGTACTGTTAGTAATGGAAGAGTACACTCTGCATTTTTCAAATATTTTAAAATGAAGTTTTATTCCAAGTGTCCTGAGTAGCACCATTTGACGGAGCTACTCGGGACACTTTTTTTTGCTTCTGGCACCTTACGAATAGCATAAGGAATTTTTTTACAATGCCATTTGATAGCCCTTGCAAAGAGCTATAAAATGAGCCTAAACTTGTTTATGAAATGTTTCATCATAAGAAGTTATTAACAGTTATTAACAAAAAAACGCTCAAAACTGTCCCTAGTAGCCCCAGTTGATGGTACATTAATTACCGTATTATTGATGCAATATTACCGTATCCATGAACAGGCTATTGACCATTTCAACTACCTTGTCCATTGCAAGCTTCATATCAGCAGCCTTATAGCATTTTTTCTGTAGCGGTTTCAGCGTTTATTAGGCCGTAGGCCTGTCGCCGATTCTTAACATCGCAGAGCATTAACAGCTTGTTACGGTCTCGAAATCGCAACTCACGGCTCCAATTCTGCTGTGCTTAACTGCCCAGCCTCCTTGCCGATTCTGACCAGAAACTGGCGCACAGAGCTGGGATCGAACCCGCGCCTCTCTGCTCCAATCATGGTACTCTGAACTGTAACCACTGGGCCACCCTGCCTGTATCTGTAAGCTTACAGGATGGCTTGTAATTTCATACCATTTTAATTGGGTTAAGTGAATTTACTATAAAAAAGATCGTGAAAAACATACCTGAAACAGAAAGGAATGTTTTAGTGACAACCATCATATGTTTTGGAGAAATAAATCATAGTACAATTATTGGGCGACCGATGGCTTTGTATGTTTGTAGTAGGGTTTCCTTGTCTTGTCCAAAGGAAGTGCCTGAGAGTGCTTTCAGTATGTTGTTGAGGTATGTAAATTCCGCAAATAAAGTTTTCATGCTGACACTTGTCTGCCACTTTTTTCTAAGCGAAATTTTTTAATATGGCAAATATTTTTTTTACTATGGACCTTAGCAGAAGTAACTTTTCTAAATCCTATCATTTTTCCGGAGTGCCGGAGTCTAGAGTTAACTGCATGACTGCAGCTGAAGGCTGTCTGCCTAAGACTGAGACTGCTCGTCTACGTCTGACTACCTAAAACTAACGGTGCGCTTTCCCAGCTTATATACGCGGTGGCCCGCGAATAGTGATGTCACAGAAGGTGACGTAATAGTCAGTAATGACATCAATCTGGAACAATACTACAGAGAGGAATATTTGTCACCATACATTTACATTTATCTTACTAGTAATTCATATATACATGCTAAGTTAAATTGATTTGGTTTTAGAAGAATCAAAAT